GTCCAGCTTGGAAGTGGGCAAGGCAGGTTGAACAGAGAATGAATATCCTACCTGTCAAGCAGGAGTTTCACCCCAAGCAGCTTCTAAGTCGAAGTTGAAATTGAGAATGGTTTCTCAAAGGGTTTCTTCTGTCCTTGCTGCTAAGTTTGTGCAAGTTGACCCTACAGAGGTGATGTCGGCCTCAATGTCGGTGCACACTTTCTGTTGTATTTCCAACTCTTTCAGTTTGTCAGGTTCCCCCCGACTATCCTGCTTTGTCTCAGGGCCAGACTGTCAGAGTGTTCTCTCTCTGTATTATAGCAAAACTTTTTACATAGAATACACACACACACACACACACACACACACACACACACACACACACACTGAATATAAGTGAATAAATAAATAAATAAACACAAAATCAAAACCAAAAACATCCACGCACGCCTCCTGGACTTCTCTTGTTAAACACTGATTTAGAAGCACAAATATCAAATAATACAGTTGTGCTCTGTCATAGGATATAGCCAGTGACATGACTTGTAGCATGCTTTATTTTCCTTGTTAGTTTAGTATTGAAATAATCTAATAATAAGTGAAATTATTCTTAAAACTGGGTAGTCATGGGCTCCAAACCTTTGGTGGAGCATTCCTTTTGGATATAATCAGCCTTGGGAACATACATTCTTCCTCATGCTCATGCTGGGTGCAAGAAAAGTCCTATTTTGCTGATGCTCAGAAACAAAAATGGAACTGTGTCAAGACAAATTGGAGAGGAAGCTTTTCTTTTTTGGCTGGAGATGTCCCAGGAGAGTTACAAAGCGGGTGCACTTAATCATAACCATATGCTGCTTATTAAAATATCCAGGCAGAACTGAACATTTGACTTCCTTCCCGGGAGTGGAGCTTGACAGGCTGAAGTACAGTTGGTTGTAGGGTGTAAGGGTCCTAGGGACAGACTCAAAGTAGCAGAGGAGAAAGAGGGGTGAGTCCCTGATGTGTCTAGACCTTCTCCCAAAGGAGCTGCCATTGCTTCCTTTATCCTTTATTGTGCTTTGATGTAAGAATGTTCCTGACAGAATAAAGTAAACAGTTTTGAAAGTTTGCTTTCTTAAAAAAAAAAAAGTTTGTTTTCTTCATGCTCATCCTTGACTTAAAAACTCTACTTTTTTTCATAAGCGATGGGACAGACAGACTGACAAAAATCCCCTTTCCCTCCCTTCCCCTCCTGTCTTCTCCTCCCCTTTCTTCTCTCTCTCTCTCTCTCTCTCTCTCTCTCTCTCTCTCTCTCTCTCTCTCTCTGTCTCTCTGTGTGTTTGAGTCCTCTTTTATCTCCTTATTGATTAAAGGTAACCATGCTCCTGTTGTCAAAGGCTGTTTTGTCAAGAACTGTAATCACAGCTTGACCTCATTGTAGGACACAGTGTATTGATGTGTATTTGTCAATGTCATGCAAGCAAGAGAATACATATTTCTGTGTAAGGGTATGCATTTGAACTTCAGAATAGTTCTTTTTTTTCTACACACAAATTTTGGAAGTTTATTTTAATTCTGTCCTGGTAATTCATGTTTGTTTTTTTTTTCAGGACAGGGTTTCTCTGAAATTTATGCTCTTAAACCATATGATAATAACCGTTTCATTTAATGCATTTCCTTCCTCACTTGGGGAAAACTAAGTTCTTCAATGGGGTGGAAGGAGAATCTCATATGTATTAAACTGCCTTAGAGGTTCCTGGCAGAGTGGCACAAATGTACATATAACACTACCAATAGTCTTTGCTAAAATTTCACGGTTTTGCTCTAAGTCTTGAACTTGTATCCATTTTTAAAAATTTAATTGGGAAAAGATACAACCAGTTAAGAACACTTGATACTCTGTAACAAAAAAAAGCACCTGCCAACTGCCCATTTTTAAGAGAAGTTTGGCAGAGGTCCTTGTGGACTTCCTGGTGTTCGCTGTTGTCTTCAACAGCTCCTGCCCTGATGTCCTGTGCTTTCGGGTTGGTCTCGCCCTCTGCTCCTCTGCCCGGGCTTGTTTACCGCATTGATTGCTTGTTTCTCTAAACGCAGAAAGCAACTCCATCTTTTGCTGTGTGGGAGCCCCGGAGACACGTAGAGACATGTAACAGATGTCTCCTAAAAATAAAAGATTAATTTGTATTTATGTATACATGTGTATTTGTGTGAGTATATGCCCTGTGTGTGTGGGTGCACACAAAGGCCAGAATAGGGTACGGGGTACCCGGGAACTGGAGTCACGGTTGTGTGTTGCTGAATGTGGGTGTCGGGCACCAGACATCGTCTTCTGGAAGAACAGAGCCCTCTCTCCAGCCCGCTAGACTCCCTTTTACTGCCGTGAAAACGTTCCCACTTTTCCCCTCATTTGCAAATGAAGGAGTTTCTGGGGCTTTCTCATCTAGATCTTGAGGTTTTGTTAGTTGCAAATAGCACTAGGTGAAGCCAGGAAGCATTTCCTGTGCAGCACTTACATAATAAATGGCAGGATTTGCAGAGCACTTGCAGACCAAGGTCGTGTGTGGTCCCGCTAAAGTGGGGACTCTGTACTGTTTTCTACTTCAGAAATTTGCATAGTTAGGAATGGAATAGCAGAGAACGTTTCTGACTCTGAGTCTGATAAATGTGAAATAAATCTCGAATCTTTCCCCACCCCTGAGAAATCCTGTGATCTAAGAAACTTTCTAGACCTCTTCCCTCGTAATGATATACCATTCTTCACAGTCTTACTATGAATCTTGATTATTCAATGCATATGGCTCTGTTAGCTCTTTTCTTGGCCCACAGTAAACACTCGGTAAATATTACCTACAATTATTTGCTTCTTGCACAAATTGCATTTCCTTTGCTCAGATTTTAGTATAATTTATACTGAATCTAATTTGGAAAATTTTTATTTACATAATGGTACTTTTAGAGTTTACATGTGGGACTCCATGTTATTTTATTTTCGTTGATTTATAGCAAAAAATAAGATTTATTGTGTGCTCTTCATAGTGCCGTGTGTCACATCAAGCTTTACTTAAGTGCTGTAGCAAGAAACTCAGAGGGGGAAACCCCGTAGGAGTTTTTAACATTAGCTAAAAACAGCAAAATAATTTCATAGAAGAAGCATTTTGAAGTGAGTCATAATTCAGTCCCTGCATTGCAGATGGACTCAGGGCACTCTGCCATGGGCATGACTTTCAGGAAGGATGTAGGATGAGACATCCTGGGAAGGAGAAGCGAGGCATCCTGGGAAGGAGAACGTTCCCACACTAGTCACACCGTGAGGCATCTCCAAAGAAACAGAACATGGATTCTGGGTGTCTGGATTTTGGCCATGCTGTTCCCCCTTTAAGCATATGGCTGGCTTGGAAACCTGTAACCCATATAAACTCAGACTGATGTGAGATCATTCAGTTCTTGGGTTTTCAGGGTTCCTGAGTGTAAATCACTTAGCAATGTGCAAGCGATCATGTATTTGAAACTCCCTGAGGAAATGTTCCCATTTCTACTACCTGCCCATCATCACAAATTTAAAAAACAGCTTTGACAAAGTGTGCCAATAATCCCTGCCAAGCGTCGTCTTCTTTGGGGGAAGGAGGCTATGCATTTTGCTAAGGGGAAAGTTGTTAAAGCTGAAAGAAAACAGAAGTTATCAAACTCAGCGCTCACATCCAAATGTGTGAATTACATCCCTGTTCAGGCCCCTTTTCTCCTAGGTCAGATATCATACCACAAGAAATTTATAATAGTTATATAAATGTCTTTAACCTTGACAAAAGTTTTTTGTCATTATTATGTTAAGGTTTAAAAGTCAGAATATTTATCCAAGCCTGGGGCAATGGCTGTAGTTCTGCCTTTGGAACAGACCTCTAGACTTTTCACGAGGCAAATACAGCTGATTTTCCCAGGACCAGCTTTGCAGCGACTGTGGGAAGATGAAACACTGAAAACAAAAGTCTCCATCCAGAGAGCTATCATCTTTACCAGGACGGTTCAGTCTGGTATTATGTCAGCTGGTTTACATTTAACAGTGTTTTCCCCAAATCACTAGGAGGACAAAATTTGCATCAGCCCAGTCCACACCTGCCAACTGATGCTTTCCTCCCCTGCAAAGCTCCTTATTCTCCCAACGTGAGGCTGGATGGCTGGAGCGACCCCGACACAGTGTCCTTCCGCTGAGTCATCTGGAATCTAACAGTAGAGAGAGAGAGAGGACCCCGAGCAGCTTTGCTGCATCTAGTTTTAAATTTCTTGGTTTCCCCTCAGGCTCTGTATCCGTTCACTCAAAACCCAATGAGAAAACAAATGAACAGGGGCTGTGGAGATAGCCCAGTGCATAAAGCACGTGCCACACTAGCTGAGGACCAGAACTAGGATCCCCAGAACGCACATAAAGATCTTAGCGGGCATGATGGGAATCCCAGTACTGGGGAGGCGGAGACAGAGGAACCCAGGGCAAGCAGGCTCGGTGGATTAAGTCATTGGTGAGCTCTCAGGTCAGTGGCCAGACCCTTCCTCCATAAGGAACGTAGAACATAGGATGGTGATGGAGCAAGACACCTCACATCAAATCCAGGCCTCCATGATCACACATTTTCGTGCACACCTGTTCACATGGCCACCCATACACATGTAAACATCCTTGCACGCAACACTCAAGCATGGAAAAAAATAATATATTTTTTTTAGATGCAGTGGAATTTAGTGGAATTTTGCATAGTGTAGATTCATCCTTGAATTGGTTGAAGGTTTGGAATGAAGCAGTAATGGTCATTTTCATTTTAACAGTTCCTTTGTATTCTTGTATGTGCAGAGTGTGTTTCCTGTCTATGTCAACGTCCACAAACCACGGTGTGGTTGCTGCCCCATGCTGTGAATGGTAGCTCAGTGCCCGAAAGCTGGCACTGAAACGTTGCTCAGCCAAAGCTTGTCCGACGTGCACTGTCAGCACTTCCTGTAGCTGGTGCATTTGATGTTCGGCTTGATTCACGAAAGGCCTTTTCTTTCTCTTCCAGTCTGACAGCAATGCCAGCTTCCTCCGTGCCGCCAGAGCAGGCAACCTGGACAAAGTTGTGGAGTATCTAAAGGGGGGCATCGACATCAACACCTGCAACCAGGTAAGCGCGAGGGACGGGCTTTGGTCCGTGAATCAGGAAGCACCCAAGATCCAGGCAGAGTCTCAGAGCATGGGACTTTTTTCTGTCCATATTGATTTACTGAGGTATCAGGAAGTTGATCTTGATGCAAGCCAATTTTTACCAATTTCCCAGCTTTTGAAGTGTCAGGGTTAGCTTTTAGAATTGCTATTACTAGTGAAGTATAGAAAAAAATAAATAAATTCAGTATCAGTATTTTCCTCTGACATGTGAACCTCCTGATCTGGTATAGAGGTTAGTCAAGAATGATGTATTATAACTTGTTCAAGTTCATCCTCAGCTACACAGTGAGGTCAAGGCCAGCCTGGGCTACCTACATAAGACAGTGTCTCAAACAAACAAAAGTCACACAACAAAAATCTTAAAACAACGCCAGTTTAGAAATATGGTTACTTCTGAGGACTGGAAAATTGCTATATTAATAGTCAAGTGTTTGGATTATTAATTAGGGATAAAATTATTTATTTTTGAAATTATTTTCCCCGAAGAGTACTGATATTTTCTTGACATTTTGATGAAGGTTTTTGTACCATCAGTTAAAGTGTCTAGGAGACCCCACTAATCCTATGGTTTGTAAATGTTGTTGGTGGTGGTGGCGTTTTTGTTGTTGTTGTTGTTCGTGGTGGTGGTGGTGATGTGTGTGTGTGTGTGTGTGTGTACGTGTGTGTGTGTGTGTGTGTGAGAGAGAGAGAGAGAGAGAGAGAGAGAGAGAGAGAGAGAGTAAGATGAAAAGCTAAGTATGAATATCATGTTTATGTGAGGTCATTTTCAGTTTTTGATTTCAAATGACCCAGGAGTGCTTGGATGCTGTTGCTCTGTCCTCCTATGCATTTGGCCCACTTTTCTTAAATCTCTGGACACAAGCTTCCTAAGCTATGGCTTGTGACCCATGAGGGACTATAGACGTGAATGTGCTGTCACAAAAAGTTCGTAACAAGAAAAGGCTTTGGGAGTCAATTGAAATCAAATGATAACGAACCCAAGCTGTTTCTCTCACGCGTTCTCTACACCGCGATAAAGCTTCTAAGGCTTCGCTTCACCCCTGGTCCTAGATGCGCAGCATGAGCACTTTGGCCTATGCAGCAGCCACAGCCTGCAACATCGTAGAACATATGCGAAGTTTTCTTCTCATAAAGTAATATAATAGTTTAATTATAAAAAGAAGACTTTAACTATTTCCCTACCACCATCTCTTCAGCATGCTAGTGTCAAACTAGTATGTCTCTGGATTATATTGTGTTAGAATGTTTGGTTTTTAAAATTGCTATATGAATCCCTGACCTTAGTTTCATTTTTACAAAAAAAAGCATTAAAAGAATTTTTGGCCTGTGTTTAGGGACAGAATTTTCAATGGTTTCAGAAATAATACCAAACGTTTTTCTCCAATGTTCCAATATGTACTCATGTGAGATGGCGTGGTCAGAACTGGCGACTGTATAATCAGAGTACTTTCCAGGTGGGGGTGGAACATGGGAGGCAGAGGCAGGTGCTCTACAAAGCAAGTTCCAAGGACAGCCATGGCCAAACAGAGAAGCCCCGCCCACCACAAACCAGATAGATAGACAGACAGACCAACAGATAGACAGATAGAATCAGAGTATCTAAAGATCTTCGTGTTATCAAATATTCAGCCAAGATTTAACTTTCATGTAAAAATAAACAAGCACATCTGTCTCAGTGGGCACAGATGTGTCTTCACCTTTAGTAAATGGTAAAATACAAAACTGCCTTAAAATAAAGTCTTCTATTGCTTCATTATTAGGAAATGCTTGATTTATATACCTACTTTATATTTCTGTACATACTCAGAGTTCCATGAAAATTACTTGAGTAGAAAGGGGTCAAAAGTGTAAGAAGGTTAAGAAGTCTTGCTCTATACTACTGAAATCAGTAAATCTCTCGAATACTTTCCTAAATGCAGCCTGGTTATTTATCACCCTGAATCATTATCTTCCTAAATTCCTATCTAGTCATTTCTTCCCCAATTGTGTTACTAAAACATTTTGGAGAGCCCAGTGGGAGTGTCCACATGTTACATTCAGGTGTCCTCTAGTGGGTCTTCATCCTGTTAGTGAAGGAACTCGGGAGCAGGCTCCAACAACATCTCCTGGACACTTTGATTACAGTTACAACAAAACTCAGGGAGGCAAGCTGTAAATTCAGCTGTCAGGAGGAAGGTATTCAGGGAGAGAGAGAGAGAGAGAGAGAGAGAGAGAGAGAGAGAGAGAGAGAGAGAGGCGATCTGGCATGGACATCAGCCACATGGTGGGCAGGCAGGGAACATGAAAAGGAAGAGACATTTGGAGAAAAAGAGAAGCCCAAAGCATTTGGAGAAAGCATCCCCAGGAAAAAGAAACACACACACACACACGCACACACACACACACACACACACACACACACACACACACACAGGAAAAGCTACGGTCTGTCTTTCTTTCTTTCTTTCTTTCTTTCTTTCTTTCTTTCTTTCTTTCTTTCTTCCTTCCTTCTTCCCTTCCTTTCTTCCTTTCTTCTTTCCTTCCTTCCTTCCTTCCTTCCTTCCTTCCTTCCTTCCTTCCTTCCTTCCTCCTCTTCTTCTTCCTCCTCCTCCTCCTCCTCTTCTTCTTCTTTGAGTAATTCAGAAAAATGGGAATACCTACAAGGTTGTATGGATGGGGATTCTGGGAAGGAATAGCACATTTTTTTTTTTTTGGAAAAGATTATATTCCTCCTGTCTCTTCCTGTCTCTGTAGCCTGGCTTAAAGAAGTTTTTGCTTTCCTGAGGACTGGCTCCTTGGCTGGTACTTGATTAACTCTTAAGGAACAAGACAATTCCATATCTCTGCACAGAGCTAGATTCCTTCCTGTACTATACCACTATGTCAAACCACAGCCAGCTCTTTACATAGGTCAGTACTGGCCCATATCCAGTGAGCATCTGCAGAGTGTTTTACTGCAGGCCTCCATGTCCAGACTTACTTTCCCTCCTGTATCTTCATGGTCACATAGCAAGGTGATCACAAAACCCTCAAGTATTCAGCTGTGTCTTACCTATTCCTGAAGTCATTTTATGTTATGTTGCCGTTCTAAAAGAAAAGCCTATTTGTGGCCCTTCTCCATTCATAAATTTCCCATGACTGAAACACTCACAAGTGTAGGGCTGCTGTGTTACCATCAGCCAGAGGTAACTTCTCTTTTCCTTTTGAGACTCACTGGCAGGAGAAACATTGTCACTGGGGGTAGGAGTTCTCATCCTTTAGGGATATGTCTCTTATTACACAGAAGTACAGAGACTTATCTGCTTTTGCAGATACCATAGGGGATAGTAAGAATTTAAAACCCTTGCACTGTATGATCCTGGGCCACCTGCTGGGGTAGTGGGTTTTTTTTTTTTGAGCAGTCCAGAAGGACTAGGAGTAGGCAACACCCACCCCAAGATCCCAAGCAGGCCAATGCGACTTCCCCAAGGTCTGTTGCTCTTGAACCAGCCTACACAAACAGGCTTCCATCATTGCCCTTTATGTCCACTGCGATGCATTTAGTGAGAAGATCTGGCACCTGCAGCATGTGACACTCAGCCACCGTATTTGCTGTGGATCAGAACGTCCTGTGTTCAGATCCAGGAGACCTGGAGCTTCTGCCAACATCATGATATAGCAATAGAATAGCTATGACTTGTAGGTGAGAAATGTTGCCACTGAGCCATGGAATGAGATCACATAGTGTTCTCTCTGTGTATAAATGGAGTAAGACTGCTTCAGATGTATCTACCCTCCATTGCATTTTCCATTAAGAATAACTTCATCTGATAGGCTTCTATTATTCTTTGGAACAAATAATTTAAATTTAAAGTACATGAATTATATTAAGAAGGAAAATCCAAGCTCCCACATGTATATATGTACACATACACATATTTACTCAAGAAAATGTCTAACAATTTGAATTTGAAATGTTCTCTAATTTTGACATGTTACCTTAGGTTCATTAATAAGTTAAATACACTCAAATTTTAATATCAATTAATTTGCCTTCTAAGTTGGCAGTATATTAATAGATAGAAAATGTGATTATTAGTTCATTAGAAAATGTGATTATTAGTTCATTTAGGTAAATATTAAATAAACATTTCATGAGCCAAAAGTAGCATTAAGTAAACTGAACCTAACCTATTTCAGACCAACCTCAGGTCATCTTAAAGGAATTAATTATGTGACAGATCAAAGGTCATCAATTTTATTTTATAGGTGCCATTTTAGGAGGGAGACCTCTCTCAATAGTAAATACTCTATCCATGAGTGATTTTAATAAGCCTAACTTCTTGAGCGCATCTGAAAACTTTTAACCAGTCTTGCTTGTATGTTCTTGTAGCCCCCTGTTCTCTAATGTCTCACCTTAAGAGAATATTTATTTCTGTGAGATGTGTCGTACACCACAGGTTCAAAGTCAAGTTCTCTGAATTTTGGGAAATGACTTCAGTTCGGAAGGTGGCAATTCTCTAACCTCTCACCTGTGCTAACAGCAAATTCAGTGCTTCTCTTCCAGGGTTGCAATGAGAGTTCAGCTATGAGATATGAAACTTGAAACATGATTTTCTAGGGTCCCTACAATCTAATTCCAACTACTGTGCATCATCAATGAAGAATCAAAACTCATAACGGACTTCCAGCACACTAAGAGATTGATTCTCTCAAATAACTCAGATTTATAACTCTAATCAAACGTTGCTGCCTGCTGTAGATCCCTTTCATTATTGTCATTATTCAGAAATGCACGTTAATTAGAAGCTGGAGAGTCAATATGAGTAATATCAGTTAAGTAGTGACTGTATCAAGGTTTGTGCTATGAGTTTTTATGTGATGTTTTATCAATCAGCTGAGATAAAACCTCATGAGATGTGGGGTAAGCCTGAGTTTACTGATGCAGAAAATGAATTCATGATGGCCAGGTGATATTCTTTGGGTGATGCACATCTGTTT